TGCTCGACGAGACTTCTGGTGTGGAGGACAGGAAGGCGGGGGGGGAGGTGGTTATTGCTTGGAGGGAGAGTCCCCCTCTCTACAGGAAGCCACGACCACGTGTCACGGGAAGGAAAATGGCCGCGGATCCTGTTTGTCACCTGATCCAGCATTCGCGAATGGAAGCAAAATTTTGCGAACGGTGGTGTTCGTGACCCGAATTGGTCGTGAACAGAAGCGTTCGTGACCCGAGGTACCACTGTATTAAAGAAACAAGCCCATTTGGGAAAGGAAAAGATGCAACATATTTTAAGGGTGCCTGTCTTTTCTCACGTCTAATCAATTTATTTGTTGCTTTCTGACACATCACATATACCAAATATATGTATCATTTATTTCTGTACCCTATATAAAGACTTGACCCCCCTTCATAAATGACTTTCACTTTGCCTGAAGTACTTGTGATTCATACTGTTGGGGGGGGGGGGGAAGCCACTTTGCAAATTCAGGGATCAAGTTCTTTTCAGCTCCACACCAACTTGATGCCTGAGTTTTAAAGGCAACAATATGGATGCTGTTCCCTGCAATGATTAGCAGCTTAGGTGCCATATTTTGCACTACCTACAACTTTCGGACAGTTTCTAAAGATAGTTGTACATATCACATATAGAGTTTATAGCAGTGCCATTATGTAACTAATCTGCAAAATTAATAATACTTTAATTAATTAATTAATTATTAATTCTAATTTATAGATTGGCTACCAATATGTAACTAAATTCACAAATCACATAAAGTATCAAAATACCCTACATATCTATACACTGAATTTGTGTGGAATGAGTACATGTTTTGATTACTAGCATTTCTATCAAAGATAAAAATATCTGATAAAATGAATTTATGTTTTTAAATAAATGTAACATTTTAGAGTTTAGGAAAAGGATTGTGAAAGATTTAGTAAAGTTTATTTTAAAGATTAAAATTCATTTTGAAAAATCTATGTGAAGGCAATATTGCATAAAAAGTTCAATTCAACATATCAGTTTTATAGGATAACTATAAATATGATTGAACTGATATTACAAAAATAACTTCTTAACTTAAAAACAAAAAAAAAATCTAATTTTTAATAAAAAATCCAGTACCATGTTTAGGGATTGATTTAAAAAGCTTACATTCAAAATATATGAAGAAAATTATTTGAAACACATAAGTTAGTTTTTCTGCACAAATTATTAAAACAATGAGTATAATTTCAAAATATAACTTTCCATACAAAACCTCCTAACAGTCAGGTGCAATGTCATGATCTTCCAAGAAAACAGTAACAGCAGCACTTTCTGCCAGCTGTTTTTACCAGGGAGAGTTTAACAGACCCAAGCTATAAGAGTAGTTCAAGACACTTAATGTTCAGTGAAGAAAGACACTTCTTGTATCATTATGCTAGGAGCATACTTAGTTACCACTGGCTGGGATGCAGAAGAGGTCCATGGGTCTCTTTCCTAAGAGGCACCCTTCTGCAATCTATTGTACTTACAGCCTATACTCAACCTATCCTGAAGCAGGAATACTTCCCCTTGGCATAAGGAGACAAGAGTCTCTCAAAGTTTTATGACAATTTTCAGATGAACACTAGACTGCTTATTCATTTGCAAGTGTTGATATCTAACAATGTCAGTCAACTATAGCTACTTGATACCAATAACTTAATAACAGAAGCATACTGGCCTGTATATTCACAGAATTAACTCAGCTTAGTGCATGATATTCTTATCTGATTATGCCAACTCGTACTTCTGCAATGTCTCAAATTCTAATCATACATAAGCACGTTAGGCCACCAAAATCAATGAAATGTATTTTCAATCTTTTCCTTCCCCCCTCTGCCAATCAGAACAAAATTTCTTCTTAGGTGTATAATCTGGGTACGTTTACCAAGTTCTCATCTTAGAACAAGCATAATAAAAGAGAAAATGGGAACAGAGAAACAAAGTATTCAACACGTTTTACTCTCTCTAGACAAATGAACAAATAAGAATAATAAACTTTTGATTCTAACTTGTTAGAATTAAATTTACTTTAAAGCCAGACGAGTTCTAGTTTGAAATTTTGGTTGTGCTTGTAGTTCCCTAAATAGAGTAGCCAGAAATACAATTTTGCATCTTTCCCAAATTCAATAAAACCAGTATTCCCTGCACTTTTCCAGATTCAACATAATGAGTAAATCCAGCAAAATGAGCATGCAGTACATGTACGTAATTTCTATCTTTGGCCATGAAATTCTGTAGCTTTCAAATCAAACATCTGCTAAATAGTATAATGCATGCCTTGTGTACAGAAGATCCCAATATAATCACTAGTATCTCCTGGTAAGCCTGGAAACTCATGAATAATTACTACCTATCAATGCTGAGCCTGTTGTAACATCTTTGTTAAGGAGATGCTTGCCAAATGTCAAGTAGATGAAAGGAGACTCTCAAAGCTCTGGGAACAACACCCATGGACCTTCAAAGGTTTTTACCAAATTGGAATTTTCATGTGATATAAATAATTAAATATATGATAATATATTATCCTGCTGATCCTGATTTTCTGTTTTTTAAATTGATTATGGACAATTTTTATGTTTGTATACTGGTTTTTAATTTGTTTTTATTGGATTGTCGTTACCTGTTGTGAGCTGCCCAGAGTCGCTTAGATGAGTTGGGCAGCCATACAAATTGAATATAATCATCACCATCATCATTAAAATTTTAAGTATGTGTAAATGTAAATGAAATTAAAGCAAATTGAGTTTTTGACGTGGCCACATACATTACTTTTTAAGCTTGGTAGTCCAGGGTCAAGTACAAGATTTTTCCCAGGAAAGCGGTATACCTCTTAACTGTAAAAATGGCTTTAAATACGTAAAAGCCATTGAACATACACTTAAGTAATATGCACATAAGACCTGTAAAAAATGTTACAACATAAAATGTTCCCATTCAGGGTCCAAATCAAGGCTTTTTACCAGATAATCTATTCTATTACCTTGTTCCTGTGTCCCCCCCCCCCCGGTCCCCAAAAAACTGTACTCAATGCTTTGTGGCCAAAGGGATGCTTTTTCAAAAATTTCTTGTCCTGGAACTCTTTTTATAAGCTTATCATGAAACAAGTCCCACTGAGCTTGTTTGCGCATACTCACATATAAGCAGCTACAAAGCTGCAACCTTAGTGTACCGCCAAAAATAGTTTAGGTGAGGAAGTCAGACTCTTTAAATACTATTTTACATCTTGTAATTTTTAGTACTACAAACTATGATTATTTTACAAGAACTGTGGGAAATCATGCATCTGAAAATTCATATCTCTACATTTTTCCTTTAACTCATTTTTTCAGTACTGACAAAACATTAACATAAATTTAAATTTATGTCTTTATGCATCAAATAGGTCACTTATAGGGACAATAAAATAGAACAATTACCTGCTGTAGGATCTGTAATAGCTTGATTTGTGATGCCAGTTGGTGGTTCTTGAAGTTGGTAAGTTGCATTGGAGGAAGGAGTTGTTGGACTGGTGTTGCTGCTCGTCATATAATGTGAGGGATATGGAGAACTATTATAATACTGTGCATACTGACTCTGGCCAAAGCTGGGATAAGATGGATATTCCTACCAGAGGGAAGAAAAATGCTGAATTAGACTTTCCCATCAGCATATTACATTTTATTTATTTCTAATATAAATGCAAATACCGTATGCATTTTCTGTTACCTTAAT